GAGGACTATATTAAGACGGCAGCTGAGGAGCCCATCAACTTCGCGTGAGTGACGTGCACGCACACACACGCACACAGAGCCATGGGTAGGAAAGGCCTTTCATTGCTGATGGATGGATGGATGGAAGGGAGGGAGGGAGGAAAAATGGAAAGGAAGGAAGGAAGGAAGAAGGGGAAGGGAGGGAGGGAGGGAGGGAGGGAGGAAGGAAGGAAGGAAGGAAGGAGGAAGAAAAATGGAAAGGAAGAAGGGGAAGGAAGGGAGGAAGGAAGGAAGGAAAAAGGGGAAGGAAGAAGGGGAAGGAAAGAAGGGAGGGAGGGAGGAAGGCCAACCCCCTTTGAGACTGCCATGTGCTTCTGCAGTGGTGCGGGATCATCTCAATTGGCCAGTCCTACTTCTTAAAATCTATAAACGGCTGGTGTTTCTTGCCACATTTCTTGAGAAGCCATCAAACACGAAGGGCATGAACAGAAGGGAACATGTGCAACTGAGGGCTGAACTGTGGGCTCCCTGGTGCTCTCTGAGCTTGGCTGTTTCACGGTCCATCTAGGGAACATCATCAGTGCTAGAAGGGAGGGGGGGTTGGGGAGAGGAGGGGGAGGACTGTGGGGTCCTTGGTGCTCTCTGAGCTTGGTGGTTTTCTTGCAGATGCTCCTTGAGCCAGCTAGGAGCATCATTACTGCTAGAAGGGGGGAGGGGTTTGCAGGGAGGAGGAGGAGGAGGAAGAAGGCAGCTAGCAATAAGCTCAGAGAGCACCAAGAACCCCGCATGATGGACATTCTGTCTTCTCCTCGGAGTCACCTTCCTCTTAGACATCCATAAAAAAAGGAGCTTCTAAAAACTCTAGAAAGGGGGTGTTTTGTCTTCTTTTTCCTCCCTCTGCAGGAGTTTGCTGTGTGCCCTGTGGGACCCCTCTCAAGCCCCAGCCTCCCTGGCCCAGCTCTGCTGGAGAAGAGGACCAGAGAGCCCAGACCTCCATCCGGATCCCTCACGGCTCTTTTTTCTGGACCGTGATCAGAAGCGGCTCCTGCCCCAAGAGAGGATCTGGAGACGTTCTGGAGCCAGCCTGGGAGAGTCCCCGGCCACCACGGGGCATTTGGTTCCAGGCTGAGCTCCAAGGCCAGTCGTGGCCGTGATGGGGAGGACTTCCGGAATCAGGAGAGCCGGGACTGGACGCAAACAAGCACCTGTCATCGGCCCACACAAGAGCCGCCGGGAGGGAGGAGGGGCAGCCTGACAAGGAAGGAGGGCTGGCCTCTCTCCAGCCACAAATTCTCAGCTCTCATTCTGGTGCAGGGAGAAACGGTCAGCGACCTGCTATGGCCACTCTTCCCTGGACAACCAGCAGGGCCCTGAAGGCCGGGCAGGCTTCTTCTCCTTCCTTCCTTCCTGCCTTCGTCCTTGTCTCTGTTGGGGGCAGCCACCTGCCCTCACCCCCCCCCACCTGCCATTCAAGCCCCAGCAGGGTGGAATTAACCCCGTCCTGCCGGGCTTCTTTCCTCCCACTGAGAAAGCTCTGTGCACCATGGGTGAGGGAGTCCTTCCTGCCAGCCGGCTGGTGGGCTCGTTTTGAACCTCTAAGGAGAGACTGAGTCGTCCAGGTCACGGTTGCCCCCCAAAGTCCTTTTTTCCAAAAGACAACTGGGCTTTTCTTGGGTTTTTGTTTCTTTTGCAAAAGTTTCACTTCTCATCCAAGAAGTCCACACACACACCCCCACACACGACTCCCACTCAAGTAGGAGACCCTCTACGCTTTTGGACGAAATGGCTGTCCAGTCTCTTCTTAAAGGCCTCGATCTTATTCTACCCAGGAGACACCCCTAAAAGACCCTCTCTGCCTCGGAGAGCCCCAGCTCCTTCTCTGGAGCAGAAGGCGGAGCGTAAATCAAGTGCAAGCTAGATAAGGCCATTCCCCTGGGAAACTGCCCTCCAGCCACTCGAGGAGGGGGTGGGAAAAACATGCATGCAGGGGGGAAAACACAGGCTCCAGCAGGCAAGGGCTTGTTGCCATGCGATGCCCTGCCAGGCCAGAAGGCAGAACCGGAAGGGCAGGTTTAAAGGCAGCAGCCGCTCTGCTGACGCACCTGGGAGGAACAGGACTGGAAATTGCTCTCCCGGCCCTCAGCCAAGCTTTCAGCAAAGAGAGCTCAACCTAAATATAGACTCCGGAGTTGGGAGAGTCCATTTCAGCCAACGTGTCTCCCTGCTTGATTCAAAATGAAAGCATCCCGGATTGATGGCCGCCAACCGAGAGTTTCGTCACATCCTGCAAAAACGAAATCCAAAGCTCCTTTGCTGAGCCGAGCTGCTCTTACGGAGTGTGGGGCCATTCTCCGAGGCCCTGCGCTCTCTGCAGCGCTCGACCCCCTGCTCTGCAATGCCCTTCCAAGGGTCCTTCTCCTCTTCTTTCCAGACCCACAAGCATTTATCCGCTCTACCATCAATGACGTTCCCTAGTTGGGTCATGAAATGTTTGCAAGAAAATAGCCAAGTTCAAAGAGCCGCAAGGAGCTCACAGTCCTCCTCCTCTTCCTCTTCCTCTTCCTCCTCCTCTTCTCCTTTCTCCACTCTGCAAACTCCACTCCCTTCCAGCACTGATAGATATTCCCTAGTTGGGTCATGAAACGTCTGCAAGAGAACCACAGCTCAGAGAGCACTAAGGACCCTTACAGTTCAGCCCTGAGCTACAAATATTCTTTACGATTGATATCCTACTTCTTTTTACCTATGTGAAGCCTTCAGCACTGGACCCAGCACTTCAAACTGACCAATGACGAATAGATGGGATCCTCTGTGTCAATCTCTCTCAACCTTGGCAACTTTAAGACGTGTGGACTTCAACTCCTAGAATTCCCCAGACAGCCATGCTGGGAACTAAACCCCGCCCATCTTAAAGTTGCCAGGGTTGAAAAATGCTGCTCTGGGTTGCCTTGTTTTGCCTTCCTTGCAAAAGAAGAGCAACTTTGATGGAAGTAACCTTTCTTTTAGAAATGGGTGAAGAGCAGTGGTGAAATCCAATTTTTTTTACTACCAGTTCTGTGGGCGTGGCTTGATGGATGTGGTGTGGCTTGGTGGGCATGGCAGGGGAAGGATACTGCAAAATCTCCATTCCCTCCCCACTCTGGGGCCAGCCAGAGGTGCCATTTGCCCATTCTCTGAACTACTCAAAATTTCTGCTACCGGTTTTCCAGAACCTGTCAGAACCTGCTGGATTTCACCCCTGGTGAAGAAGGATAAACAAAGAATTTCCAGTAGGGTGAAATGTATTAAAATGAAAAGCAATGAAAAAGCAATTTGGGATGAAATGAAAGTGAGGAAAGGCTGGAAGGAATATCCCTAAGATTGTATAACGGAATAACAGAGTTGGAAGGGACCTGGGAGGTCATCTAGTCCAACCTTCTGCTCAAGCAGGAAAACCTATGCCATTTCAGACAAATGGCCTTCCAATCTCTTCTTGGAAACTTCCAGTATAGGAAATGATGTTGATGTATGAAACTTTTATGTAAGTTAACATGACTCTGCATAAGAACACTTTCTAAAGATGTAAACAGGCTGAGAAACGATACTGAACAAATGTGGCATTTGGTGTTTTATGAAGGACTTTGGCTCTTCTCAAGTGAATCGACTGGTCCTCGAGAGTTCAAGAGGGAGCGTGGTTTTTCCGCGCTGCTTCCCTGCTCTCCCCTGCAAGGGATGGAAAGAGCCGCTGAATTGCCCCTTCCTGAGAGGGAATGCAGCAGGTGGCCAGGCGGAAGAGGATTGTCCGGCGGCTTAGAGAGGTCAACATTTTCCATGTGGAAGACCAGAGCAGGCCAGCCCCGGCTGGGAATGGCAAGCTGGGTATGCAGAGATACCCCAGGATCGCCATTTCCAAGATTCTGAAATCAGAAAGAATCCATAAAACTCAATAACTGTCTGGTTTGGCACTGCAACCAAACAGGGCAGGCACAGACTTCAACAGATCATTAGGCCTGCAGGGGAAAAAAATGGCACCCAGCCTGCCTTCCATGAAGGATCTGTACAATGAATGATGCAGAAAGAGGGCTGAGAAAATATCTGCAGACCCCTCACGTCCTGGACGTAAACTGTTTCAGCTTCTCCCCTTGGGACCCCGCTATACGGCCCTGCATGCCAAAACCACCAGACATAAGAGGTTTTTCCTCTGTGTCATCACTCTGCCGAAGGCTTCATTCCCACAGCACCATCTCATTTCCCATCTTTCCTACTCTCCTCCTCCTATTGGTATTTTATGATTTATCAGTTGTTGTTTGTAACTTCTGATGATTGTAACTATGATTTATGCTCTATGACCTATTACTTGCTCTTTATATGTACACTGTGAGCTTCTGCACAAATTCCTTGTGTGTCCAATTATACTTGGCCAATAAAGAATTCTAATTCTATTCTCTATTCATTCTGTATTCTACTCTACTCTACTCTATTATTCTATTCTATTCTATTCTATTCTATTCTATTCTATTCTATTCTATTCTATTCTATTCTATTCTATTCTATTCTTTGTAATTATATTCTATTCTCCTCTCTCTTCTCCTATTCCATTTGTAATTCTATACTATTTGTAATTCTATACTATTCTCTGTTCTATTCTACTCTACTCTATTCTATTTTTCATTGTTTGTTCTGTTCTGTTTTGCTCTACATTCTGTCCTGTTTCCAGGTGGGCCTAGAGCCAGGGAGGTCCACTCTCTTCCCTTCCACGGACGGACGGAGGCTGTCGATGGCTGATCAGACTGGGGGGGAAGGGAAGAGATCTGGCTTAGAACGGTGGGGGGGGGGGGGGGGGGGGGATAGTGATGATGGGGGTGGGTGGTGAAGTGTCCATCAAGGCGTGTGCCTAAGGGGGAAGGCCTGCTCCCTTGTTCCAGATTCTGTTTGCCAGCTTCCGCTGAGCACACGCCCCCATCCGTCTAGCCTGGATCACCTGAAGCAAGCGGGGAAGGGGACGCAGCCCAGAGGCTGCCAGAGCCCAGAGGAGCCCTCACCTCATCGCTCTCCTCCACGTCCACATTGCCGTTCGCATCGTCGTCCATCTGCTTGTGGATGTTGCGCACAGCTTCGAAGCTAAGCTGCTCGTCCTCATTGTGACACAGGGGCTGGTCGATGCGGCAAAACTCTGCGGGGGGGGGGAGGGGAGAGGGAGAGAGTTAGAAACATCCGGGAAAGGTGAGGGGACCCCCAGATGTATTTTTAATAATATTTTATTTGCACAGGTAGTCCTCAAGTTACAACCACAATTGAGACCAAAATATATGTTGCTAAGTGAGACAGTTGTTAAGGGAGTTTGGCCCCATTTTGCAACCTTTCTTGCCACGTTTGTTAAGCAAATCACTGCAGTTGTTAAGTTAGTCACATGGTCCTTAAGTGAATCAGGCTTCCCCCCCCCCTTGACTTTGCTGGTCAGGAGGTCACCACAGGGGATCACATGACCCCAGGACACGACGACTGTCATAATCAGTCATGTCAGTTGCCAAGCGTCCGAATTCTGATCATGTGACCATGGGAAATGTGAAAATGGTTATAAGTCACTTTTTTCAGTGCCTTTGTAACTTACTAACTTATCAACTGCAGTGATTCGCTTAAGAACTGTGGCCAGAAAGGTCGTTAAATGTGGCAAAACACTTAACAAATGTCTTACTTAACAACAGAAATTTTGGGCTCAATTGTGGTCGTAAGCCGAGGACTTCCTGCACTTAAATCAAGAGAGGGTCTTTTCCGGGACCCCTTCCCAGCCCAGTGGCTGCCTGGAGGGGCCTCCCTCCTCTCGGGTTTCAGACCCACATTTTCTCAGGACCCCCTGCAACTCGAACAGACACACACACACACACTGCCGGCTGGCAGGGCTTCAACCTGGACCGCTGCAATGCCCCCCCTCCCCTCCGCGCCCCACAGCTCAGCCACCCAGGGCCGGGCCGAGAGCAAGCCGAGCTCTGCCAGCCGAGTGTGCAAAGCCAAAAGCGCCCGGATGAGTCAGAGGCTACGAATGCCGCCCACCTCCTGCCCGCGCAGGTGCCAGCGGAAGACGGGCTCAGCCGGCTGAGTCACCCTGGGCACGCTCGGAGGAGCAGGGGGAGGAAGCACGGCCAGGGCAGCTGCAGGTGGCTGATTCTCCCGAAAGAAACGGCAGAAGCCACTCGCAACTGGATGCCCTCGGGGGCCACCGGAGGACTCGGTTTGCCAGGCTCTGTCAAACTGAAACTCGCTCCTGGCAAGTCTGAAAGTAAAATTCTCCCACCGTCACTTCTGCAGCCTGCTTAGTTAGCGTGAGGCATGCCATGCTTGGCCTTGCCATACGCAGATAGTCCTCCACTTATGACCACAACCGAGCCCAAAGTTTAAGTTGCTAAGCGAAACAGCGGTTAAGTGAGGTTTGCCCCATTTGTACGACCTTTCTCGCCACGGTTGTTAAGTGAATCCGGCTTCCCCATTGACTCTGCTGGTCAGAAGGTTGCAAAACGGGATCGAGTGACCCTGGGGAACTGCGACGGTCGTAAGTTGCCAAGGGTCTGAATTTTGATCACGTGACGGTGGGGATGCTGCAATGGTCATAAGTCGCTTTTTAGTGCCTTCCTGTAAAGGGTCTGGGGCAGGGGTCCCCAATGCGTGGGCTGCGAGGGCTGTGCAACAGGGCTGCGGAAACTGCCGGTGAGCATGTACACCCATACGCATCCTCACTTGCGTGAGCAGTGGGTTACCACGCATGTACTCCACTTAAGTGAGCTGCAGGCGCATGTGCAAGCCAGTGACACAAATAGAGCTGCACACATGCACGCTTGCTGGCCACTCTTGCAGAAACATCTCCCTTTCCCCACCCCCACTGATCCGCGAAGCCAGAAACATTGGGGAACTCTGGTCTGGAGGATAAACCCTATGAAGAACGGTTGCAGGAATTGGGTAGGTCGAGTCTAATGAAGGGAAGGACCAGGGGTGACACAACAGCAGTCTTCCAGTATCTGAGGGCTTGCCACAAAGAAGAGGGGGAGAGGGTCCCCCTCTTCTCCAAAGCACCTGAATAAGGCAGGACAAGAAGCAACGGATGGAAACTCATCCAGGAGAGAAGCAACCTGGAATTGAGGAGAAACTTCCTAACAGTGAGGACAATTAACCGGTGGAACTTCTTGCCTCCAGAAAGTTGTGGCGCTCCACAACACTAGAAGTTTTTAAAAAAGAGACAAGAGGAGAACCATCTGGCTGGGATGGAATGAGGTCTCCTGCCTTGAGCAGAGGGTTGCCCAGAAGACCTTCAGGTTCCCTTCCAGCCCTGGGATTCTGCGCTCTTAAAGATGCCAAGTTAAAAATGCCACTCTGGAGGCGAAGCAGAGAAACAACGAAGGATCAACATCTCAATGAATCCAACGGGCAAATTTGCAGTCCGTGCCCATAAATACGTCCGGCTGGTCCAGGCAGCATCAGAGCCCCCTCCCTGAGCCCACCCTCTGAGCTGTTTTATGAAGGCCACAGGAGGCTAGGCTGGTAGGGGTGACGGAAGAGGCCGGGTGGGAAAGTCCGACTGACTTGAGGCCAGCCAAAGCAGGCACAAGGCTGCCTTGGTGTCTCTCCTACAGGGAAAATGCCAGCCTCACCCAGCGTGCACCATGCCAACGTCAGAAAGCGCTGGAGCAAAGCCAGGCGTTCTCCTTTGCGTTAGCAGGAAGGGGCACAAAGGCAGGCCACTTCCCTGGAAAGCCTCAAGTGCCCCGACTGGCTAAACGGCTCTGCGGGAACCATCTGGAGAAGGAAGAGAGGCCGAGAAAGAAAGAAAGAGGCCGAATGGTGGGCACAACCACACTTCAAACACCAAAATTCCTACTTTGCGGTTATTTTCCCCAGCACCGTTCTTCTGGCAAGCGTATGACTCAAACAATCCAACCTGGCTCTCCCCAACTGCAGGCGTTAACGGGTAGCGTGCCTTCACACTGATTTGCACAGGAGAGTGAGGTGCTTTTGCAGATGACGGTTAAAACATAGGAAGAAGGCTTGCAGGAATGGGGTATGTCTAGCTTAATGAAAAGAAGGACTGGGGGTCTTCCAATATTTGAAGGGCTGCCACAGAGAAGAGGGAGCCAAGTTATTCTCCAGAGCCCCTGAAGGCAGGAGAAGAAGCAACGGATGGAAGTTAATGCAGGAGAGAAGCCACCTGCAACTAAGGAGGAATGTCCCGACAAGTCCCCAGCGGAATGGCTGGACTCCAGAAGCTGCGAGGGCTTCATCCCTGGAGGTTTTCCAGAAGAGATCGGACAACCCATTTAAAATAGAATAGAAAAACAGAGCTGGAAGGGACCTTGGAGGTCTTCTAGTCTAGTCCAACCCCCTGCTTAGGCGGGAAACGCTAGCCCACTTCAGACAAAGGGTTGTCCAACCTCTTCTTAAAAACTTCCAGTGTTGTGAGAACAAGTCAGGAAATTTCTCCTTAGTTCCAGGTTGCTTCTCTCCTGGGTTAGCTGGTTTGTCTGAAATGGTCCAGGGGTTTCCTGCTTGAGGTGGAGGTTGGAGCAGAAGACCTCTCCGTTCTGGCTGATTGATAAAAGCTACACAGAAGCGAGATGTCACACGCACACATGAAGGGTCCAATTTCCCCCCAGCCGATCCCTTCCTCACTGAACAGCTTCCCCTCCTAACCTAGAACGGCTCCTGCTTGCTTGCCCTCCTCCTCCTCCTCCTCCTCCTCCTCTCTTTGTTTATTTAAACCAGTGGCAGTTAATCCTCGACACAATGGAGCCCCAAATTTCTGTTTGCTAAATGTGACATTCCTTAAGTGAGTTTTGCCCCATTTTACGACCTCTCTTGCCCCGGTTGACTTGGCTTGCCAGAAGGTCGCAAAAGGGGAATCACGTGACCCCGGGAGGGTGCGACCGTCATAACTATGAGTCAGCTGCCAAGCGCCCGAATTTGGATCACGTGACCCCAGGGATGCTGCAACGGTCGTTAAGTGTCATAAGTCAGTTTTTTCAGTGCTGTTGGAATTTTAAGCAGTCACTAAACAAACTGTTGTATGTGGAGGACTAGCTGTCTACCCTGTGAAGTGCTAGGGAGGCTCCCTCCTTGCTCTCTTCCTGCCCACCAGGCCTCCGAGCTCTGCTGTCTCTTTGCCCTGTGGGGAGAGGATCCTCCCCCTCCTGGGACCCCAGACTGCCTCCCACCACACTAGACAGACAACCACCCCCAAGCAGCCTCAGCCCCCCAACCCGAATGTCCCACCCTGCCCGTTAAGTTTCCCACTCCTCTGAAGAGACGGCCGGCTTCCCGCTGGGCTACCCACCCTTTGGAATAGCTCCCACCCCTCACGCCTCCCCTGGGAAGGATGCCAAGCCGGTCAATATTGACTTTTCCGAAGTTATTAAAAACTGGAGTCTGTTGGGCAGGCCTTAGCGTACGCATTGACACCCTCAGTTCCTATTTGCATGTTTTATCTCTAACTGAAGCTACTTTATCATTTGTTTACTTTACATAATTGTTATTCTTGCTAATGTTATTTATTTAAATTTATTGGCCGCCTATTTCCAGTGGACTCTGGACTCCTATTTATGTTATGGGTAACAGAATAACAGAGTTGGAAGGGACCTCGGAGGTCTTCTAGTCCAACCCACTGGGTTTTTTTTTTACTTTTTTAAAATTTTATCTTAAACATCCAACAAACATTAAATCTATAGCGGTCTACATCACAACGCGAGAAGGAAATAAACTTGTCCCATTACATATATAGGGTAACGTACAAAAATCTATTACATATACCAATTGACATCCTTATCCAATATCTCTATTTATAGCTCGATTTGACATCCAATTATACCACCGATTCCAAGATATATAATAATCTGTGTCCCCCCCATCCTTTCAGTAACATAGTAAGCCAATCTGATTCCGCACAATTCGTTTCTCATCCAAGAAGCTTCTTCAGTTCTGACTGAATGGTGGAAGATGGAAGGATTCATATTCCTCTTTCTGAAAGTCACTGAGGCTGCTTGGAGGTTTATCCAAGAAGGTTCCACACCCATTTGCACTATTCAGGTGACCCCGAGGGCACAGATAGACCTCCACGTGGCCTCAACAATTCTCAGAGAGAGTGCTGACGACCATGGACTGCATGGAATATAAATCCTCCACCATTCAAT